TGACTCACGGCAGCTGTCTAGAGGAACAGGATGTTGTCGCGCGCGCGGCGGGGGGCGTGCGAAATCGTGGCAGGCGCAGCACTTTGGCGATGCCGTTGCGAAATCGTGGCAGGCGCAGCACTTTGGCGATGCCGTTGCCGAAGTCGTGGCAGGCGCAGCATTCTGTGCATCTGGGTGTGTGTTTGTGTGGCAGGGTCGCATTCGGCAGCTGTCTAGAGGGACAGGATGTTGTCGCGCGCGCGGCGGGGGGTGTGCGAAATCGTGGCAGGCGCAGCACCTTGGCGATGCCGTTGCGAAATCGTGGCAGGCGCAGCACTTTGGCGATGCCGTTGCCGAAGTCGTGGCAGGCGCAGCATTCTGTGCATCTGGGGGTGTGTTTGTGTGGCAGGGGTCGCATTCGGCAGCTGTCTAGAGGGACAGGATGTTGTCGCGCGCGCGGCTGGGGGTGTGCGAAATCGTGGCAGGCGCAGCACTTTGGCGATGCCGTTGCGAAATCGTGGCAGGCGCAGCACTTTGGCGATGCCGTTGCCGAAGTCGTGGCAGGCGCAGCATTCTGTGCATCTGGGTGTGTGCTTGTGTGGCAGGGGTCGCATTCGGCAGCTGTCTAGAGGGACAGGATGTTGTCGCGCGCGCGGCGGGGGGCGTGCGAAATCGTGGCAGGCGCAGCACTTTGGCGATGCCGTTGCGAAATCGTGGCAGGTGCAGCACTTTGGCGATGCCGTTGCCGAAGTCGTGGCAGGCGCAGCACTCTGTGCATCTGGGTGTGTGTTTGTGTGGCAAGGGTCGCATTCGGCAGCTGTCTAGAGGGACAGGATGTTGTCGCGCGCGCGGCGGGGGGCGTGCGAAATCGTGGCAGGCGCAGCACTTTGGCGATGCCGTTGCGAAATCGTGGCAGGCGCAGCACTTTGGCGATGCCGTTGCCGAAGTCGTGGCAGGCGCAGCATTCTGTGCATCTGGGTGTGTGTTTGTGTGGCAGGGGTCGCATTCGGCAGCTGTCTAGAGGGACAGGATGTTGTCGCGCGCGCGGCGGGGGGTGTGCGAAATCGTGGCAGGCGCAGCACTTTGGCGATGCCGTTGCGAAATCGTGGCAGGCGCAGCACTTTGGCGATGCCGTTGCCGAAGTCGTGGCAGGCGCAGCATTCTGTGCATCTGGGTGTGTGTTTGTGTGGCAGGGGTCGCATTCGGCAGCTGTCTAGAGGGACAGGATGTTGTCGCGCGCGCGGCGGGGGCGTGCGAAATCGTGGCAGGCGCAGCACTTTGGCGATGCCGTTGCGAAATCGTGGCAGGCGCAGCACTTTGGCGATGCCGTTGCCGAAGTCGTGGCAGGCGCAGCATTCTGTGCATCTGGGTGCTTTGTAATCGCATCCATACAAGGGGCGCACGGTACATGTGTTTATCCGGTCCTTTTATTATTAAATGGGGTTCGCGGTGCCAACCGAGGACGAATCCTACGGCTGATAACCTGCGAAAGAGTTTGAAACAGAGTTTCGGGAGAGAATAAACAGGCCCAATCCCACCAACAAGAAGAGATTGTTTAAGTCCCCCAGTCCCAAGGGCAAAGCGGTGCCCTCGGCTGGCACAACAAACGAACCAAAACAGGGTGCCTTTAACCAAAAGATGAATGAACCCAGCAAGGGCAGAGACAACCGAAAGCAAGCACAAAGCAGCAAACCAAGCAGGCAAACAATGCAGCGCACAGTGAGCAAAGCAAACCAATAGCGCAATCCCCAACCCCGAATCCTGACCCACCACCAAGACCACCCAGCCGCCGTAGTCCGGAGCGTCAACCTCCCACGCGCCGGCACAGCGCCGCTGGCAGCAGTTTTGACGCGATGGCAAGATGAAGTCGCCGGGATAAAAGCTTGAGCCAAACGGCGCGTTGGCCGTGGCGTTGAAACATGTTGCGATAAAACTACATGCCCCCAAAAACAGAAAGAAAGGAGGGCCGGTTCCACCAGCAAGCCTTGACCACTCAAAGGCCACGCTCTACCACCAAGTGACTATAGTTTCCTCATCATCCACTTCTCTGCGGCAGCTGCGGCAGTATTCGCGGTGGGAGGTGACCAAGTATGGCGCGCCCATCGCGAATGCGGATTTGGCCGCCAAAAATGGCAAACTCAAAGAGAAACTCTGCCAAAAAAAGGCCAGTTTGCTGACATCAGGAATTAGGTCAGTGCCTGGATGTGTCTTTGAGAAGTTCTTTGCCTTTTGCCGACTGTAAGCCAAAGGGCAGCGCACCTGGGCAACTTGGACAAGTTCGGTGGCAATGCGTTCCTTGTGATTACACACTGTCATGTGTGCCATTGTCAAAACTAGTGGGTCAATGGTGGTTGTCTCAAACGAAGTCTTCACATCTGAGCCGATTCGAGGAGCTTACGATCTTGTTTGCTCTTTCGAAGGGCTTTTGACCATGGCTGCTCAAAAAAGCCTGGCTGGAGCCGGCCTCCCCCTCCAGCTCAATCACCTTCTTCTCTGGCTCCTGGCTAAGCGCCCCTCGGCTTCCTGTTTTGAGCATACGGCAGGGACTCGGGGCCTCGGGGCCTCAAGATCATTCCAACTTCAACTCGTGTTGGGAATCCCATGCACGTACCCCATGCTTGAACCAGAATGTACAACCCTTGCCAGAAAGCGAACCCGGAACGGCTTCTTTATGAAAGCTGGCCCGTGTTGAAGGCCGGAGTTCCCCCCCCCCCCCCGTGCCTTTGCCAGCTTTTCGGCCCAGACCGGCGAGTGCAGCGAGAGGAAGGGCCAAGGCACCTCGAAGGGCTCGCCACCTCAGCCCCGCTTCGGGTTGATAACGGGAGCCATGCTGCAGCTGCGCGTTGGAAATCCGCGGATTGCTCGACCCTGAGGGCCGATCCATGTACCTAGACGTGCTTGCAAGGCTCATCGAGGCTGCAAACAAGCACAAGAATGTGCCACATCTAGCACCAGCAACTTCAAGACCGGAAGGCTGTGGGAAGCGAACAAAGGAGGGCGCTCAAGTTTGTTAGAAAATAATGTGGAAAAAAGCATCAGGGAGGCAACGCGTATTCCGTGTGTCTGTTATTTTGTTTCATGGCTTTCTTTTTCGTTGGCGTTTTCGTTTTTCACAATCCCATGTGGGAAACAACCACGTGGACCACTTGCATACAGCAAGGAAAGACATTCGTGATTGCCTTTGACCAGCCCAGGCCCATCACCGAGAGAAATTAGGTCAATCTCCAGTCAAAGTCCTTTCAAACATTTGCCCTTTCTAGAAGGCTCGTTTTCCATCCCCACCATGTCAGAACCAAAAGTGCACCTCCCAGCTACTGAGACACACACAGAGACACACTCCGCCGGCCACCTTCACGCCGAGGGCATTTCGGCACACCGCGGCCTGTCTGAGGGCCCCCGGCCCACCACAAAGGTCAGCAGGCCCCGGCGCGCCCGTGCCAGCTCCATGGGGCCTTGGCACCGCATCTCAGTGTGAACGATGCATTCGTATACCCAGCTTCAAACTCGAGAGCATGCTTCAAGGCGAATTGAAGGATTTGTGGATTCGAGATTCAAGATTCACATGGCTCTAATGCAATTTTGAATACTGCCTCCAAGCAACAGGAAAACGCATCAAACAGATTTGAAAACTCTTGTCTGGAGCCTTGCTGGATTCAAGATTCAAAATGACAGTGTTGAAAATATCAAATCTTGAATCCAAAAATCGTTGTTTACCTGCGCTTTCGGGCCGAGTTGGGATTGAAGCTTTGTGGCCCCCAATCTAAAGCACTGAACGCCACCGCTTGCCAGCACGAGGAACATCGTCCGTGGATCACGAGTTCCCCAAAAGCCTCAATTTATGAAGCAGGCCGTGAACCCCTCCCCAACCCAACCCCCTCACCCCCCTGTGGGCTTCAGGAACCACGCTTTACCCATCAGGTCCATGCGCCTGGAACGCCCTTCTCAGGTCATTGCGCTATTGCTGGGGTCGCCGCTCGACCGTCACCACATGGCAAGCGCCACGAATTCGCTGGCTCGCTTCAAACACGTCCGAGGGAAAACGCCAGCTCTGAAACCCGTGCGGCAATTTGGGCACTCTCCTCTTGCACAGCACATTTTTCCAGCGTACTGGATTGTTGAAGGAGATTGACAATTCGGCTGACACAACACACATTGTCCGCCTTCCTCTGCAAGCCAAAAGCCAAGATGAGCGCGCTGTCAACGTCATGCTGGAGGGCGCATTCGCCATGTCCCCTGAGTCACAAAAGGCACATCGCCCACTCGCCTGTATATGATCCTTCACACTCAGCGTGTCAAGATGAAGCAGTGGAAGGGTTGAAGAACAAAGCCACAAATGAGACACGCATCTGCGAACCAGCGGTGTACAGCCACTCGGACCTCGGTCAACAAACCACCGCTTTCCGGGGGCCGTTTTTGTTGGCCCCCCAAAACCCATGCCCGCCTAAGGCCATCTCCCAGCTCAAGGCCATCGCTATGCAACTGGCCATGGGGCCGATCTCCCACTTGGGAAGTCCAGAGAGCCTGGTGGTTGTGTGGTTTCGCGCCGTGCGGCTGAAGCGCAGCTCTGGCTTGCCTTGCTTTTGCGGGTTTTGCCTGCCTTCTTTGCATTGCAAACCTTGCTTTTGCCATCTGGAGCAGCTTGCCCTTGCCTTGGTCGGCTTGCTTGCTTGCCTTGCTCTTGATTGATGGTGCATCTTTGCCCGGGCTGATCCTAGCGCCTGAGCACAGAAACAGCGGGGCGAAGGCAGGAGCAGATTTGGCACAATCTCGTTGCACCAGCTGCAGATCCAGGTCGTCAAGAAGGAAAAGCACCTCGACCTCCCCAGAACGTTCGCTGACACAGCCGCAGCACCCACCACTGGCTCCCCAAAATCCCAGGGATGACTAGCCCACTGCCCAAGGCTGTGGTCCTTTCGCAAGGCTTCCGAGCTGGTCCATTCGTCCTGCCGCACAGCCATCCCAGCCAGTCCAAGGAAAAACGCGGCACACTGATAAAGTGGGCATTTTGATTTGACAACCAACATCTGCCATCCCTCGCTTCCTGCGAACACTGCGCGTTGGCTCTTGGTGAATTCTGAAGTCGCCCTTGGCCCCTGGTCTTTTGGAGGGAACGGCGTCTAGCCCTTTGCTGCGCCCCCTCACCACATGCTGCCTCCTCTTGTGCCACCTTGACAGGTGGCCTATCACCATGGTTCCACGTTTCCAAGCAGAGTCACATTGAATAATCCTGGTGCCCACCATTGGAGGGGCACTCTGTTCCATCTCCTCTAGAACAGAAGATTCAGTAGCTAGTATCCCACGTGAACAGTGTCCCATGTCAAGGGCTTGAAGAACGGGACCTACGTCGGGGGATCCGGTGTTTGTTTTATTCCTAGGGCTGTTTTTTTTCCTCCAGGGCTGGTCCCCTGGTTGGTTGGTTGGTTGGTTGGCTAGTTGGCTGGTTGGTTGGTTGGTTGGCTGGCTGGTTGGTTGGTTGGTTGGTTGGGCCGCATCCCCGGCATCACCAACCTCACTTGGCTTTGGGGCCGTCTATTGGCTCTGATTGGGTGGCAGTTGAGCAGAGTTCTTTTTTGGGTACACAAAAAGGGGAACTCCGGGCGCTACAACAAACAACTCTGCTCAGTTGGGAGTTGCTGGGGGATGGTTTAAGTTAGGGGGCCTTTTGGTCATAGGGCGGGTTGGGGTGGTTTGGGGTTGATCTACGCGAGGCGAAGGGCTGACATCCAGGCTGCTGTTGGGCGGGTTTGGGGCTGATTTGTGTTAGTTGTGCTGCTGGTTTAGCAGCGGTTGCGTTAGGGTGGTTTTGGTCTCGTTTAGGATCGGTTTTGGAGCGTTGCCCCAACCACCAAAACTCGCCCACAACTCACTTAACCACACCCTACCGCAACCCTAAAGCCGCTGCTAAACCAGCAGCACAACTAACACAAATCAGCCCTAAACCCGCCCAACAGCAGCCTGGATGTCAGCCCTTCGCTTCGCCTAGATCAACCCCAAACCACCCCAACACCCACCCTCATGAAGATCTAAGCCAGCCAAAAGCCCCCCTAACTGAACCAGCCCCCAGCAACTCCCAAGTGCCACCCCAATCAGAGCCAATAAGGCAGCCCCAGGTCTAAGTGATGCTGGTGATGCTGGAGATGTTGCCAGCCAGAAAGCCAGCCCCAGGAAACGTTACCGGGGCTAAGGCGGCACAAAAATGAAGGTCCGAGGCCCTTCTGACAACTGCGACTGCCCTACTGGCCCACCGCCCCACTGCGCCTCTGCCTTGTCCGGCGGAAGGTCGGAGCCTCTTGGCGGCAAAGTTGCTCAAAGTGGCATCACCAGTTTCCTCCTTTAAAACAATCATCGGGTTCACAGCTCAGAACCAGGCCTGCCATGCGAGCTTGCACGGATGCCTGGAACCGCTGCACCGCCTCCTTGGTGATGGTGGACCTGGCTCCCTTGGATTGCTTGGCACATGGAGATCCATCGGCATGGGTGTTGATCACCAAAAGTTGTTGTTGTTCTTTGCTTTCCCTTTCGAATCACGACAATCAAAAGGTCCCCTTGACAAAACCAGTTTTTAATCCTCCCTCGGATGGGCTTCCACTTGCGAGCTAATAGACCGGCGTCTTGCGTCACAAAATGGAGAATTAGACTCGACTTCACACTCAGCAGTCTCATGCTTGAGAGCAACTCTGGCGGGCAGACCGCGGAGCGTCATCGCACGCCTTGGATTTTTCTGGGAAAGCAGCAGGCCAAGTGTTTTGGACAAGCAGAACAGTGCTCCACGCCGGCTGGCAGTTCCCTCTGTGACGGGCTTGAGGCCAGAGGTTTGCGCAAGGGCGACGCTGGCTGACTGGGGAACAAAAACCACGAGCAGCCAAAGCGCTCGAACAGCCCCCGGGTCCTCCGGGCGAAAATCAATGTGCAATTAGAGCGCATAAGTGTCAAGAGCCCGGAACAAACTAGAGGAAAGAGGGAGCCAAAGGCAGCGCGAAGGGCGGAGGGCAGAAGAGCGGAGACAAGAGCAGAGCGAAGAGCTGGGAAGAAGCGGAGCGAAGATTGCGAAGAGCACAGCGAAGAGTGGGCAGCGGAGTGGAGAGAAGAGCAGAGAAAAGATTCGGAAGTGTTCGAAGAGGAGAACTCGTCTTCCGAAGCCACATTTCTTGGACCTACGCTACTTCCGCAAGAGAGACTCCAGCTAGCAAGCTAGCTTTCATGAAGGGACCCTAAAATGGATGGGTCTCGCTTGGTTTCCCTTGAAAACAGTTGCGTGTCACAACAGGTTGTACCAAAGCCAAAACAAAGTGTAATGCGGGACAAAGCAGGTATGGCTTTCAGTGATCCCATTTTGAGTGTGGCCCTATGGCGACGGTAAGGACCTGACTGCAAGCGGCAAGCCTGCAGCAAGCGAATTTCACGCCCCATGATTGGTTTCGTGAGTTGTTTTCTTGACATGGTTTGTTTCCTCTCAACATCAAAAGAAATTGCATGACTCCCCCTGACAGTTGTGAGAAAATGAGCAAAACCAATGCCAACGCGTCTTGTCACGTCGTGGCTTGGCGTCAGCTAAGTGCCACCCAATTTTCCCCTTCCCCCACAGCTGACACACAAACAAACAAACCGGCGCCGCTGGCAAAGCAAAGTCCGACTCTTTTGCTAAACCTCGGCAGGTCCCCGAGGCCTGCAAGCACGGCAGCAAGACAGCCGACCTTGCACACGACAGCGGCTGTCATCTCATGGCAAACGCTGCGTAAGCAACGCCAAACACCAAATGGGACAAAAGCCTCACACCAGAAAACCACGCACTCCAAAAACAAACCAAGGCTGCCATTCCCTCAAAGTCCTGCTTATTGCTTTCAGCAGGTATGGACCGCTGCTCATGTTGATCCTTGGATGATTTTTGGTGATGTGACTGTATGATTGCATGCCTGCGTGTATGAATGTTTGCTTGCTCTCGCGCTAGCCTGCAACTCTGCGCGCGCAGGGATTTCACATATGCAGCGGTATCTGCAGATATGCCAATACAAGTTGCGTACGTGCAGGTATGGTGCGCGATGGTTGCCTGTGGATATACTTGCATGTGTATGGGTATGTGCATGTGCTTGCATGCACATAGATACAAGCACAGCAAAACCAGACACTGGCACGATATGAACCAATCTCACAACCATGTACACGTACATGTATACATTATTATGCACGTGTGTGTGTGTACATATAAAAACAGTCACACATGTACGCATGTGCAACTGTATGAATGTTATGCGTCCTACGTATGCTATGTACGTGATGCATGTTATGTATGCTATATATGAGCTATGTGTGTTATGTGTGTTGTGCATGTTGCGTCTGTGTGCAATTTTGCATTGTGTTGTCTTATGGTATGGTGCGGCATATTATGGTGGGTTATTTTGTGTTGTGGAATGTATGCATGTATGTATGTATATGTATATGTAAATGTA